GCAGTGGCTTGGTGAGTCTGTGGGGCTTTCCCGTTGTCGCTGTGCTGGCGTCGGACGGCTCTAGCTTGAAGTTGTGAGAGAGGGCCCGAATATCGTGCTGCAGTGCCCTTTGAACTTCTCGTTCGGTTTGGTCGAGCATGCCCAGGAGTACGTCGACATGCAACGCAGGAAGGTTCTGGGGGCGGTCTGCCCAGAGGTCGCGGTGCATAGCTGCCGCGGGGTTGAGTCGCACCCCTGCCGTAGGGATGCTTTCGTAGACCAGTTGGCGGGCTTCGGCGGGCTTCGGCTATTAGCTGGCGCCTCTGGCGGTCTCCATGTCCCCGTCGTTGGAGGCTGGTGTACGCCCTGAGTGTAGACGCTAGTTTGGCCCGCCAGTCAGGTTGCTTGTTGCAATAGTGGATCCTCCTTGAGCGTGCCGTCGCCTTCTTCGTTGCCATGGTCCTGGCGGTTCCTCTTCCCTTGTAGCGATGTCGGTCATGTGGCTTGATGGTGTAGGCCGCGCAGTAGAACCTCTCCATGGTAGTGGCGAACTGACCGTACTCTTGACCCAGGGCAAGTGCTGCCCTAGGGTCGGCTCGACAAGCTGCTCCATTCTCGATCTAGCCACGTGGCTGCTGGTATTAATGCCGTGGTGGTGAACGCTCCTGGCGGACTTGCCGCAAGTTGTCCATGACCTTAGTGTCTGGCATGATATCGTTGCTCGAACTTCCTCGGGCCTCCAACGTGCGCCGAGGGGTCACCTCCGCCTGAGGCTCCTCGACCGGCGCGTCGAAGGGGTCCGTCGGTGGTTCGTCTTCGTCTTGATGCCCAAGTGAATCGTCAAAGTTGATGTCGTCCATTGTGTAGTGTTCGTTGTCCATGTTGGTCGTGGCGATGGGCGTAGGGCCGCTCGCCGTAGTACCAAGCAATGTCCACATGTTATTCAGCTCCTCTGTGAGGCAGTCGTAATAGCTGGTGTCGTGGTCGGTCGGGTGGCGGGCCAGCTCGATGCTGGCGTCCTGCTCATTATGTTGTTGCTTCTTCTGGCGTTGTTTCTTGTTGTGGATTGGGTGACTTCGGTGGCGCAGGTGGGCGTGAGAAGTGGGTCGGGAGCAAGAGTTGTCTGATAGTGACTGGTAGTGCCGCTCCTCGTAGCCGCAAGATCTGTCCGACATGCGTCTTCCAGGGTGCTGCGGTAGTCCCCAGTCCGATGAAGTACTTGCGGGCATCGTGGCTGACCGGCGCGAAGTCAATGAGCGTGGCCGTCGTGGTGCCCTTCCTGCTGTTGTGTGTGAAGCAGGTGTAGCCGTCTGGTATCGTCGCGATATTGGCTCCCATGGCTTGCGGCCAGCCTGATGCCCAGAGTCGCTCTGGGGAGGTGCTCCAGCCCCCCACTGCGATCCAAGGGTGCTGGCAGCTGGATAGGAAAGCGGCCGATGTGGAGAGCTTCCTGGCGTTGACCCCCCGCGGGCTACCCGACGAGTCCAGGTGCGCGCTGACAATCGTGAGGCTGCATCCTTTCAGGTGCCAGCGCATGGGGGCCCAGTCGAGGTAGGCATGATGGGGGCTGTCTGCTAGCAGGTTGAGAAGGCCTGCGGTGGTAGCTGATGCTGACTTGTGTGATGCCTGCTCGCGGAAGCACTCGGATTGGTGGTAGGAGAGGATGCCCGCGCACGTGCCGCCGTTGGAGCCGTGCTGGCTCTTGGCGGACTGGCGGGTGGGGGAGAGCGCGGACTTGTACCCCATGTTCTGCACGTCGCGCCCTACGTTCATAAGCTCGTGAATTCGTAAGTGGGTCTCCTGAATGGCGAAGGCGTCGAACCGTTTCTCCAAGCGTGCTGTAGCGAGGAAGTCCTCCACCCTGGGGCCCCGCTCCGTGCAATTGCCGACGAAGATTGCGCGCTCCGCATCGCCTCGGTGGTCGGCATGGCGATGGGAGCTGCATGGCCCCTATTCGGGGGGCTTCTCGACAGGCTCCTTGCCGGCCGTCTGTGCGTCCTCGGCCTTCTTGGCCCTGGCCCGCACTTCCTCGAGAAGCTCACCCTTCGTCTTGGCTGCCGCAATAGTCGGTGGTGTAGCTGGCTGACGTGCTGGTGGTGGTGTTGAGCTGGCTGCTTGTGATGCCGTTGATGCTGGGGCCGATTCAGGGGGACTGCCTGTGCTCTGCTCTCGGCCTTGCGTTTCTTCGCAGCTTGCTTGATGTCCTCGCGGTTCTTCTTTGCTGTCTCTCGTGCTCGCTGTAAGTGCTGTCGAAGGCCCTGCATGTATGCGGCGGCGTTGTCTTTGTAGGACTGGAGCAGCTGGCGCTTTACGTCTGCCACCTCCGCCCTCGCCGCGTGGTCGTAGTCCTCGGGGTTGTCGTCTTCCAGCTCCAGGTCGTCCGCGGTGCCCAAGTTGTCTAGGTCATCCAGGTTGAGGTCGAGGATGGTCTGCATTATGTTGATCTTCGGCGGCGCACCGTCTTTGACCTTGGAGTCTGGCCAGACCCCGTGATGTTCTCCACCTCTCTCTCCGCCTCGATGACTGCATTGGCACACTCCATGAGGTGTGCCTGTTGCTCGGCGAGGATAGCTCTGGTGGCGTTGGCCTTCTCATAGGCTGACTCGTACTTGTCGTTCGAGCGCTCGAGCCGAGCTGGTGCACTGCGGAGCTGGCGTGCCCGCGATTGGGCGGGTTCCTCCACCTGCGGCGCCAGGCTGTCGGCCACTGCCTTGAGCTGCAAGGCGGGGCCGCTGGTGATGCCCATTCCCGCCAAGGACTCCGCTATGCCCCGCAGCGCGTCGGCCATCTGCTGCTGATGTGGGTCGCGGCCCTTGCCCGTGCTGTCTCTGCCGTTGCCGTGCTTGGGCTGCTTGACCTTGCAGCCGCACGAGCAGGTCCAGTTCTACTTGTGCCAGTCGTCATTGGAGTGCCATTTTTGGCAGCTCTTGCAGGGAGACCAAGGCCAGGATGCGGAGGAACTGCCCCCCTTGCTGCTGGAGCTCCTGCCCTTGCCGCTACCCTGGCCCCCGCGGTAGCTGTTGTGCCCCATGTCGTACGGGTGGTACTGCTGGTGGCGCTGGTGCTGCTGTGCCCTGTGGTGCTGCTGGGGTCGGTGTGCTGCGTCTAAGACGTGCACGAGGACTCGAGCTGCGGACCTGCGCTGCCGTTCCCGCCTGTGCCAAGCGGGCTCCTGCGGCGTCTCGTCGACCGCGCTGCGCCGGCTACGGCGCTGCGGTGGCGCTACCGCCAGAAGCTGCCCGCGACCGCGGCTGATCGGGCCCACGGGGGGGGCCTGGGGCACGCCGTGCCTCACCCCCCCAGGGGCGCCGCGGCTCGCGTGAGCCCGCCCTCCTGGGCGGCCTGATCGCTAGCGATCGCGCGAGTGATCGAGCGACCAACCCGACGCGACCTTGATCTGGCCCCCTCCCAGCTGAGGCCAGATGGGCTTAGGAGGAGGAGGGGGAGGAGGAGGAGGAGGAGGAGGAGGAGGAGGAGGAGGAGGAGG